ATATATACAGTATGTAGGATAGCTACTGTAGAAACAAAGCAATTAGGAACAAAAAAATCTCAATAAAAAAGAGAAATTTCTACTGAGGTTACATTACAAATTATTTGGGGTGTGGACCTGGATTGCATTATGGAAAATGACTTTCTATATCAATGGAGGACAATAATGAGACATTTTAAAGGCTTACCTTTCTTCTCTTAATCGAGTTATCCCGGCTGCACAGGATCGGGCTGTGTCAGTCTAACGGAGGATACAAGAATCTGTCCTGCTCAATCAACCATTATGTAAACCTGACCAAATTGAAAGCAAATAAACTTTTCACTATACAGGACGAGCAGCATTCCCACTGCATGTTCATGGTAAGACGGAAGGTTACAAAGCAGGTTTTAAATTCAGTTTTAGGCAGCAATTCCCACCCTTTCCAAAAGCAGGCTTGGATTTTGTCCCACCAACCAGTTCCATTACATTTTATTCCACAACAGCTTTTTAAAAGACATTTTTTTCTATTAGAATATGTATATACAGAGATTACAGCATGAAGCTTTTATATAACTCCCCAGCTTTTTAATATTTAAACAATTCTGGCTGAGTTATGTGTTCCAAGGGTGTAAAACTGACAGTAGTTTTTAAAGATGAAAGGGAGAAATGTCCCACTACATATTAACTTTTGATTTATTCTTAAGAATTGTCTTCTTTAACTATGTATTATATTTGAGTATTTAAGTTGACATTTGTAATTACTATTGGTTTACATGTTTTCACTTTATTAGCCGGTAGCAGATGGATACTGTAGTATATTTGAACTATTTTGGTCCCACTGGGTTCCCATAGTTAGCTAGTGCAAGAATGTCCTTGAATGTATGGCCTGCAAGCAATGTTAATTAAAACTGTTTCAACTGCCTGTCCATTTCCACATACTGTACATGACCTGGTGTCAAAACATAACAATATTGGCAACAAGTATGGGATCATGGTGAACTAAGATCTGGTCACTTCCTTTTCAGCTTTTCAGCCTTTTTCATCCTTCATTTTCTAATTTAGGGTTGAGGATTCAGAGCTTATCCTGGCAAGCAAAGGCACAAGGCAGCATAGAACCTGAATGGCACACCAATCCATCGTAGGACCAACACACACACAAAATGGGACCAGTTTTCCCAGAAGCCCATTAACCTACCAGTATTTTTTGGGGCTGTGGGAGGAAACCACAGCACCTGGCAAAAACCCATGCGAACATGGAGAGAACTGACAAACTCCACACAGACAGCAGCCCAGGAATTCAACTCAGGACTCCAGCGCTACAAGGCAGCAATGCTGACCACTGCACCACTATGCCACTTGCATCTTTTTCAGCTTTTTTTCCTGTTACAAGTGACATTTTCTTCCAGATGCCGAAAAAGTGGGGCTAACGCAGTGCTTTAGTTTGGTAAAAAATCATCCATAGTAATTCACCAATCTTAGAAATGCCCTAAACGTCAGTAAGAGTGTTACATTAGCTATTGTTATAGACATTAAATGAACAAATACGTTCCTATAGGTTACTTCTGCATCATTGCTTTTTACTTTAGGTTATGAGTAAAAAAAAATTGAACTTCATGTGAAGGGATCTGCCTGCTTTGAAAATAACGCAGCTCTATTAATACAAAAAAACGAGCCCATTTCTTCAGGAATACAAGGTTAAAGAGTAGCCTGATATACCCCCATTTCTTTATGGGCAAGACTGAGGCTTCACAGCTGCATTTACTTCAGGTTACTTAGCAACGGCACAGGAATTGTCAGTATCGTTAAAAGCAGTTTTGAGTAAACTTGGCATCCCATATTTGTGTAGGTCTTGTATTGTTCTTAATGCTGTAATGTAAAACACGTCTGTACTTCCATCTGGCCTCCAGTGTGTTTCTACTGGACCCCCCACCCTAACAAAAAAAGCCTCCTACAGTGATCAGAAAGAGAGAAATAAACACGATAGGAATTAATGGTTTTCCTGTTTGGTAGTCAGAGCAGCAGAGTCATGAGTTTATTATAAGGACTGAGGGGAGAGCTTGAATTTTGCAAGTGATGTCAACCTGAGCTCTATCCTCTTTCTCCCTTCCACGTACAAACCATGCTTCTTTTCACAAATAGGTGCAATAGCAACTTTCTTTCTCTAAAGAGACACGTACTCTGAGCAGGAACACCTGGGGTGAACTGCCTTGAACTTTTGCTGCTGTTGATAGCTAATACTAAGAGGCATTTTGCTGGTGTTCACGTGTATAAAAGCAGTTGCTGCCATTTATATTTATTTGACTTTGTTTATGTTATAATATTTATGATCATGCAGTTGATAATATCATTCTAATTGAAAGGATCCTGTCAAATTCCATAACTTTCTAATGAATGCATTACCATACCAGTCATTTTCAATGTCAGATTAGAAGGGTGTGCTTTTGCACTGCATCAGAGAGGATTGTATATTGACTGGATTTTGGGAGGCACTGGCAGGCTATATCACAGACCGGAAAATCTCTCGTCCGTTGGAAAATTCTTGCCTTTGAGATGTTACTGAGCTTTGGTATTATAGGTAAGAGCTGCTCCTTACCTGCCTTGAAATCTAAATTTAAGATGAAGACTGAGGTGAAAGGTGAAGCTCATTTTGTACAGGGCCTTACTTTCTTCAGTCATTTAGTTAGCTATTAAATGACTAGTTTTCTACTTACAAAGTCGAGCATATTTGTTCATTACAAATATATCAAACCTTACACATATTTTTATGTTTTTTTCGTATATACTATGTTTTATTATATGATATTGTATTGGGTTTTTTTTTTTCACTTTACTGCACTTTCCTGTAGTGTGGGGCTCTTTTTAACACATCTTATTGTGGAGTTGGGGCTTCCAAAGTTAAATCAGCATTGCCTTTGTCAGTTAGAAGAAACATAATAGTGTAATTTCTGAAATCGTCAATATTCCAAGACATTAACGTAGAAGTGCAAATATTGCACAGAAATGTAATGCTTGGATTTCAATTCCATCTTTTAGAATAAAGGTAGAGGGGTAACTTCTTATAGCATTCAGATTTGTTTTCACTCTTGCTGAGTGTTGGAATTACCATAGTAATATAATCAATAGAAAAGATTTGTAGCATCATGTTTGTTTTTGTCTTGGCCAGTGTTTTATTAGAACGATCCTTTATTACTAATCAAATATGCTTTACAGCTCTATGTTTTTTCTCTCATTTCCTGCTTCCAAACTTCCGTTACTTCCAAACCTTTGAATGTTTGTCGATACTAACGTTTGATTCTCGTATCTCTTGCCTTCCAGCACAGACACACCCTGAGATACGCACGTACATACAGACAGATTTATACCCTGCCCCACACAGGCAGAACGCATTGGCATTATCACTAATCAGAGGTTGCAGTGTCACAGCTAGGAGGCTAGGCTTGTCAGTTTAATGAATAATCTGTTGCTACAAACAATCCTACCAGACCCCCAAAACGTGATGCAGTGGAAGGATTCTCCTTTGAAAACCTATTGACTCATCTGTCTGTTCTTCTTCGTAGTGATTCAAGTTGCAGTTTTAAGATATTTTAGACATTTATTCTCTCACTCTTTGCCAGGCCCTCAGGGTGAGGTTTCTGGAATGATGTTTCCCGGTGTCTTTCAGGCAGAAAAAGAGAACTGGGGAGGAAATGGCAGACTGGTGAGTTTCTCTGATGGGCCCCAGTTTCTTGTATGTGGGCTGCAATTTAATTTTAAGCTCCTCTTACAATAGTAAAGATGTGATGTGTGCTGCAGAGGAACAGTGAGACAGTGTGTGAATGTGTACACACACTTTTTGTGCCAGTGTATAACTGTGTATAACTATGAGCAGTGTTAACAGTATCTGTACAGTCTCCTGCAGTTTTAGCACAGTCAGTGGTGCGTGTGTGGATGAGTGCTCAGTGAATGAGTGTGATCGGCTTGTCAGTGCCATTCTCTCCATCAGACCTTGCGGATGGTAGCAAGGAAGGTGGCTCTTCTCTCCTGTGTGATCCGAACCTTGATGAGCATTGCAGAACGAGCACTGGGGTTCAGATACTGGGCAGACCAGGGACAGCGCTACAGCACACCCACAGTGAGTACACAACAGCTAACTGAGCTTGGTACAGACATATTTGCAATGTAGTAAATACTCCAGCCCTAGTCTCATTCCTAAATTAATGCCTAATGACGCAGCTTCTGTATAAGGGACTGGATCAGCATACTAATACTGTATGCAATGTATATATAATCCCAGGTATATATGGCCAGTAGAATAATTATTGATGGAATTGTTAAAATGAAAAATTAATTTTAAACGAATCAATAAAATATTATTTATTTATAAGATTTTTGACTCCTGACCTAGGAGCAGCACCTGGGGGAGGCAAACTCTTTGGACACTGACCTCACCTTTGACTGCAGCAGCTTCAGGAGCCAATATGAGGTTAATCTACCTGTCCGACGGGGCAGGAGCCCCTGCTATCCCACCCATCTATGTTGTTTTCATTCTGTCTCGTTCCTCAGCTGTCTTTCTCTGACACTTCTACATGTCTGTTTCCCTTCTCCTGAAGTGCACACAAGCCCGACTGTCGCCTCTCTTGCACACTCCAGGTCTGTCTCTGTCCTGTTCCTGTCTTCCTGTGCCACCCCCGTCTCTCTGTGTCTATTCTTCCTGTCATCTCTATCAGTCTTCATGTGCTCCTGCCCTGCTGTTGTCTGTCTGCAGTTTCGGCTTCCAGCACGGGCCTTGTGCGCGGCCTCATGCCCGCCAGCGTGGCGCTCAGAGCCCGACCTGCGTTTCCTGCGCAGCACCCTGCGAACGCTGCCCAGCTTCCGACGCTACTCCCCCCACATGCAGCTCAAGCTGGCCAAGGTGATCCGCTATGAGAGGTGAGCTGCCAAGATTGGGGCACCCACACTCTTTCTCTGCAGTATGACGGACATAAAATGCCTCTGGCAAAGTACTGTCATGCCAGCAACTCATCTGTTGACGTGAGCACATGGAAGACAAGTAAAGAGCCACCTATCTCGTCTTCACCAAGCTGAGTCCTGTGCTCTGAATGTCTCGTGGTCAGATAAGGTCAGGTGATGTGTTTAACATCATAATACACAGCTTAGGGTGGCACGGTAGTGCAGTGGTTAGCATTGCTGTGTGGCAGCACTGGGCCCTGGGTTCAGTAATGGTGCTATCTGCAAAGAGTTTGTATGTTTAGGTGGATGCTGCACGTTGGTGCTGGTGGAAGGGAGTCCCCATTACCTGTAAAGCACTTTGAGTGAAGTAGCCAGAAAAGCGCTATATAAGTGTAAGGAGTTATAAAAATTATTATTATGTCCTCCCCACGTTCATGTGGGTTTTCTACAGGTGCTCTGGTTTTTGCCCATAGTCTAAAGACATACTAGTAGTTTAATAGGATTCTGGAAAATTGGCCAAGTGATGGGCTGGTGTCCCATCCAGGGTGTATCCTGCCTTGTGCCTGTTGCTTGCCGGGATAGGCTCTGGCTCCCTGAATTGGATGAAGCAGTTAGAAACTGGATGGATGAATACACAGCTTGCTAGGTGAGTTATAATGATTAGCAAGAACAGACAGTTTACAGTATGAGAATATTGGAACCTGTCATATCCTTAAGACATTATTGACATTATCCCAACCACAATCTATAAACCAACAATTCACAGCCACAGGAGAGACAGCATGCAGTGCTACAATCAGACAGTCACAAAGTAATGCTAAATAGACATATGCTTGCTAAAATTTAATTTCCACTTCATCAGAAAAGAGATTAAAATGATGAGTTATAATGTTCTTGTCTGTTCTTGTCATCCGTGCTCTCTCATTTTTCCCCATCCTGATTCGTCTCCAAACTCCTTTTTCCCCTCCGCACTCCCTCTCCCACTCCCTGTTTCTTCCCCTCCATCCCACCCTCTCCTCCAGGTTTGGGCGGGGCCGGGTGGTAGTGAAGCGAGGCCAGAGAGGCAGCAGCTTCTACTTTGTGTTCTCTGGTATCATTGCGGTCACTCAGGATTTGGATGGCAGCTCTGCCTTCACTGACCAAGAGCCAATCCTCATGAGGAAGGGGGCAGGCTTTGGGGTGAGTGAGTGGTTCATGAGTCAATCCTCAGGAAGAAGGGGGCGGGCTTTGGGGTGAGTGAGTGGTCCAGGAATCAATCCTCATGAGGAAGGGGGCGGGCTTTAGGGTGAGTGAGTGGTCCACGAGTCAATCCTCATGAGGAAGGGGGAGGGCTTTGGGATGAGTGAGTGGTCCACAAGCCAATCTTCATGGAGAAGGGGGCAAGCTTTGGAATGAGTCAGTCGTCCACCAGTTTAGTTTAGTTTATTTGTCATATGCACAAGTGCAATGAAATGCTTATTTGCATGTACAGTATGTTCCAACACAAAGACATTAAAGGAATCGCCACAAACATAAACACAGAAGAGCAGCAGCAATTACAACACGTTGAATAACATACAACTTAAAAAAAAACATCAGTGTGAGCCAGTGGTAGGGGTAATCAGTAATCTGACAGCTTATGGGAGAAACTGTTGCTGAATCTGGAAGTTTGTGCCTTTATGTTCCTGTAACACTTACCAAAGTGAAGGGGGGAGAAAGAAAAGTGAGATACCAGGATGACTGGTATCCTTAGCGAACCAGCCAATCCTCATGAGGAAGGGGGAGGACTTAAGGGTGAGTGAGTGGTTCATGAGCCAATCCTCATCAGGACGGAGGTTTTGGCATTACTGAATAGACCAGTGGTTTAATGCTGTGGTTTTTAAAAACCGTATATAATTATGTATAACTGAATTAGCTTAGAATCATTTAGTAGTAAGCAACCTTGTATGGATGGGTTAATGTCTTTACAAACTGAGGTAGCAGAGGGTTTGTTTCCTCCTGTTCCTGTTGTGGTTTGAGTCAATAAAGAGAAATCCAGAATGATTTAAATAGTGATTAGAATTATGTCAATAAAACGTATGAGGAAACTGTTTGAATGTTTATTTTTGCTGTAAGATGACACTGATACTATAAGAGATAACTTTGAAGACATATTACACTAAAGATAGGTAACACCCTCTCACAGTAAGTGAAGTGTTTGAGTTTGTTACTCACAGCAGAAAATTTGTTTCAGTGCCCCACAGATTTCACTAGGACCCCAAAAGATCACACATGCTTTTCACAAAAGACCCACTTTATCCACCTAAGTGGTGCAGAACTCACGTGGGTGACATGTGACAGCTATTATGCGACAGCAGCCCCACTACACAACTGATCAGAGAAACTGCTTCTCAAATTGAATTAACTTTAGAAAGGTCAGATTGTACAAGTGCAGAGTGGACATTAATCAGAACACTGGGGTAAACACCCTCACTTTTCTAAAAATGCATTGGAATTTTTAATGACCAAGGCAGGACCTCGGTCTCTTCCAGTGGACAGAACCTTCCATAGCACAGTGTTCATCATCATCACAGCAGGACACTGGTTTGGAAATTCTTGTCCAGAGAGAAGATCACCTTCGGGTCTACCCACACCACTTTTAGCAGCAACCTGAATTTCTCTGGAGGTCTCCTAACCCAGATCTGGCCAGCCCCAGCCTTACTTAGCTTCTGAGACCTAACAAGATCAGGCTACAAGGTGGTAATATTTCTGCCAATATTAGCTCTTAATGACTTGAAATAATTATTGGTCTAGTTATTCAAGGATAATGTGGACTTTATTTAGCCTTGGACAGAAGTAAACCATGAACCCTGGAGCCCCCTGATTAAATTTGCTAACTGATAATAATGAACCCTACGTGGCGGCAATTGAGTGAGTCAGTGTTTCCCCCCATGTGCAGGAGGTGGCGCTGTTGAAGGGCCTGAGGCGCAATGCCACTGTAGTGTGTGTGGAGGATACAGAGCTTTTGGTGGTGGACAAGGAGGACTTCTTCAGTCACCAGCTAGACCAGGAGCTACAAAAGGAAGCCCTAGAGAGATACAGCTTCTTCAGGTCAGATAACACGTAAAGAAACATGCTCATACATTTGCTAGACATTTAATCCCTGTCTCTTGTTTTCAAATACTTTACTGTGAGTTAATGTACAAATTGCATGAACTGAAGGAGAGAAATAATATTGAGTGTAAAAAGAAATGGCTCCATTTATGCATATAATTTTAGAAATCTAAAGTAAAATAAATAGCTGAATTATTGGAAAGGATTAGAGCAACTTTATTCTTTTCTAACACTTGTTTAGAAGATGATGCTAAACCATTAAGTCTTGTTCAACACTGACACAAACAGGAGTTACAGTCCTGTTGTCTATATATAGTATTCAATAAGCATGATTTACTCAAAGAACACGTTAGTGCTTTCTACTTTTTTAAAAAACTTTAAATTAATACACTTTAATCTGGTTGCAAAGAAATTAAGCTTGCACAGCAGTGTATAGTTTTAAATTTTAAGTTCACAATTGTAGATGCAAATGTATGGGCAATTTACAGCAAATGCCATGTACCTGTATTAAGTTCTTAAATCCCAAAATGGTTCTATTACACAGGTTGGATTGTGGGTTCAATTGGGTCTTCAGGACTGTTTGGTGAAGAGAGCTGTGTAATTCCATCACGTGGCCATTCTTGTTCTCAGGTCCCTGGCCTTGTTCTCCAGCTGGTCAGATGCTGCTCTTGAAACACTGGCTGATCATTGCAAGACAGAGCAGGTCCATCATGACCAGGTGGTCCTGAGAGACAGCAGCTCCACCACCAGCCTTATCTTCATCACCAAGGTACCGCTCATGCACTGACATGTGGTCAATCTGGCTAGATTAGCTGGTGTTTTAATAAATTGTCCCTAAATTCTTGTGTTTTGTGCCTTTTGAAGGGGCTGTGTCCCAGCCAGAGTATAGTCCTTTCTTAGAGCCCTGTACTTCTGGGATAGGATCTAGGTTACGTAGGTTACCATGGTCTTTACAAAGAATAAACAACTTTCTCATTATGGATGAATGGTCCTGTCAGCACAAAATTACTTGGAATAAGATCACAAGTATGAAAAAGGAGCATATGTTGTTGTTTTATATAATAAAAACCTGCATCACTGTAGGAGTCCTTGCACTTAGCTAAGGCATCTGACTTTAATAAACATTGCCCTTCATCTTCTTACATTTTTACATTCACTCTGCTGCAGATAGTTCTTGTTTTAAGTTTAGCTCAGAATCTCTTCCTTACAATTTACTGGAGAGTAAATTTATTGAGACTGTGTAGAGATCAAGTATTGTAAAAAATGTAAGAGTCCATTTCATTCATTGGTTTTATTGTGTTACAGAAAACAATAATAATGTTGTTTCTTTATTAGCCCTATACAATTTCTTGCATTAGGAATTCATCTCTTTGTATATCCCAGCTTTTCTCCATGGAGACACAGACAGGGAGAGAAGCTTGGGGTCAGAGCACAGGGTCAGCCATTGTACAGCACCCCTGGAGCAGTTACAGTAGGGTTAAGGGCCTTGCTCAGGGGCCCAACAGAGCAGGATTCTTCTGCCAGCTGCAGGATTTGAACCAGCAACCTTTCAGTCACAGGTGCAGATCCTTAGCCGTAGAGCCACCACTCCGCCAGCAAGGAAGACTGGAAACTAGTCAATCTAATCTATTCTAGAACATTCATCCTATTCTATTCTATATGTTCCATGGTGGGCTTCACCTCAAAGTGCAATACAGTGATCAGAGTAGATGTCATAAAGATGCAGTATTCTATTTCTAAACATTGAAGAGCATATTCCTGCAGGATTGTAACCAGTATTTTGCTGTCTGTTTAAGAGCTTAATCAAATACTGTAATGGATGATCAAAAACTCAAAGACCCTATGACAAACTTAAGGCCATTCACAACCCTTCATGATTCAGAGGACCAGACTATACACTCCAGTTCCTGCAGTGTTATATAAACAGAGATTGTAGGACTTCATCTGAATGAGACATTGATTTATTATAAGCTGGATCACATCCCAACTCCATCACAAGTACCAGCAATGCTGGTACCTGTTTATATGGTCGGGTTTACAGGAATAACCAATGGCAAAGTACAAAGAATACAAAGCTTTGCCCACATTTATAACCTCTGGTTAAGAATCCAGAGTGCTAGTCTACTCTTTAATGTTCCCTTTACCATACTGTGTTAACGTTGTCCAGGGAGGCCCCATTACTGTTTGGGACAGATTGATTTCTAAAAACCTTATTCTGTGTGAAACAGCAGCATAAAATCGATTCTGTTCAACATGACCAAGATACATCTACTGTAGCACATAACAAGTGTTTTAGCAACACTTTATTTACACTTCCAGCTTGTAAACAGTGTCAGATAGCCTGTGCTGATATCTGGTCACAGTCAAACACTTTGATGGAAGTTGAGCTTTCCTTGTGTGACAAGCTGCCCATTTCCTAGTAACTCAGAAAACATAGAAATTGTGCTCTGTGAAACTTTGGATGTAGTTCAGCTCCGTCCCTCAAGAGCCACAATCCAGAAAGCCTCAAATGTTTCATTACTCTCATAATCTGTAAAAAGTATTCAGTTCAATGATTAGAAGCTCAATAAAACTGAAAATCAGAAGGCAGTATAGATCTCAAGGACTGGTGCTATAGTCTGCTGCTTTAAAGAACTCTTCTGCTCCTGTCTGGCATCTAAAACATGCACAGTGACAGCTAGGAGATCCTAAACTAACCCAATACTTTGATTGCATTATGTATTTTCCTTTGTCTAGAATATCGAATGAAGCTTTAGAATATACTTTAAGCTCTAAAATTCCAAAAGAAATGTAGTCGGAAATTAGTAGTTTCAGGCTTATAACAGTTGTTTCAGTTAATATTTTAATACAAATACAGATTCCATCCTCATGTTCAAGGTTTGAATAGTCCAGAAATTTACAAACATTTTAGTCTAGGTGCTTGTCTTAATAGCATAGCATAGCTACAGTATATGTCTTAATGAGGAATGATTATCTATACAGATTCTAACAGGACAGAACACAAGTAACAGAGACAACAAATGTCAAAGAGTTGTTTTTTCCTCACCAGTTTGTCTGTTTGTAGAGTAGGTCTGATAAAGAATAAGGTACCCACAGTTTAATCTGTTGTCCATCAGTGGACAGCTCACAGCAGCCTCTCACTAATCCACTGAAGTGTCAAACTGATTAACTCCTTAAACCAGCATCTTCATGGTCACAGAAACTGACAAAATATTTTTGTCCAAATATGAATATTCATCTTCCATAGGTTAATTGACTGTAACAATTAGAATTTGGAACAGTAATTTGCAAGATAGCTTTGACAACTGTTAGGAGTCAATCAAACATAATAATTTACAGTCTCACACATGGATTCTAAATACACAATGTATTGGTACAACACCAAACCATGCATAACAACCAACACATTTTATAGAATATTTTTGTGAAATTATCTGTTGTAATATTAAAGGTTGATCTTTCACTCATGGATTCCAAAGATCAAAGTTAATAATATCAGAGTTCAAATATCGCTTATAATGTGTTATGGTCTACCTCATATGTTATATCAGTTTCATATACAGTAGTTAAATAACATTTATATTGTCACATACAAGAAAATTTGCATTTATTATCATGAGCTAAAATATCAAACATATTTGGAATAGTAGTTCAACTCTGGAAAATTATAATGTGAATGAAGAAATTTTATACTCAAAGATCTGTTGGCCAAATGTTTCTTGATGAAAAGACAGAGCTGTGCTTGGTTTGGTCCGTGTTCTGACTTGGCAGTTGTTTGCTCTGTGAATGGAGTGTCACAGTACTGAAAGAAGTAAAGAGTGAACTTTGTGTACTGTTACTCGCAGTGTATGTCTTTACTCTGCAAGGAAGTCAGCATTATCCTAAACTTCTGTGTTTAAAAGTCTGTGCACGGTCATCTGCTTTGGCCCAGCTGCATGTAAATAACAACTAGCACACAAAACACAAGATTTCTTCTGTAATCTTGGGAGGAATTCTTTTCTCTACTGACTCTCTTGGCTTGGTGTCTTGGAGAAATGTTAAGTCCTGACTCGGACTGCTTGTAGTCACGTGGTTGGGAAAGTCAGATTGTCAGGGTAGTCTGAAAGAGAAGAAGGGAAGGTAGTCTGTCTTCCCAGACCTGCTTTGCCAAGGCAACAAAAAGATTATTAAAAGTGTAATAATATGCCTCACCGCTACAATATCAAGATAATACCAATAGCAGCATATTCACCCTTACAAAAGTACACC